CCCCGGCCTTACCCGACGAGTTACGTAAGTGCCCCAGGCGGGGAGAAAACTACGGTCCAGGTACATGTACAAAGTAGTTATGTTTACCTGTATACGGGATTGTGTTGTTATTTTACATGTGTCGATTAAGTTTGTTTAAAAACACAGAAAACACAATTTCTAAATATAAGAATGTATAGACAGAAAGATAAGTTTATAGATGTTACTAGAATATAGAAACATACGTAAACATCAAGTTTATATGTTTAAACACGAAACCGTATACATTATTAAGGCATTCCTCAATTTACACTAACCACGATTGTTATCGCACAACGTCCGTCCATCGTGCGCACGGATGTGCGCAGGCAATGATCGTCAATCTTTTTATCTTTCGCCCATCGTGCACACACCGTTAACACACCGTGCACACATCGTGCGCACACCGCACATCGTGTAACGTTGTGCGATCCCACAACTGTAACCTTAATGTATCACTCTTGTTTACCAGGATAGCATAACGAACAACAAAAAGAATACTTCAGATTCCTCCAGTAAAAAGACACACACACACACACACACACATCCCTTCGAATAATTAAATCCATGAATACATATTTGTTGGTTATGATATATGTCAGTTCACACTTTCAGATACTGATGACATTATATATACGGGACGTAAGAGGAACGACATAGATGGTTGGGTTTTCGTCAGCAATGGCAAGATGGTCGACACATCGGTGAGAACATGGGCTAGCGGGGAACCTAACGGAGGATCCCATGGGTGCGGATGTACCCGGCAGTCAGATAATTTTCTGATGTTGGCTTGCTGGTGTACCGCATATAACTTCTATATCTGCGAGATCGAACGTTAGTCATCTGCTGTCGTGCAAATCACAATATCTGGCGTTATAGACATAATGTTGATCTTATGAAAATTCTGTTAAAGAAATAAATTATGTTAGAAAGAATGTCGGTTCTCTATTTCGTTTGTAGTAAAGCTCATTTGTAATTTACGTATCGTTTCATTCGGCCAGAACGCGCTTTATTTCTTTTACATGTGTAACATTACTATGAGGTAAATATCAGGGTTTTCTATATGTTTTGCTGTTCTTTGGTGACGTTTTAAATACATAGCAAGAAAAGAAACCCGTACTCTAACTAGCATTTTTCTGACTATGATGCCAATGTCATTTATATAATATCATACCCACAAGTGTAACAAGATTAATCTGATATCCTTAAATTCACGTCACATTACTGAAACTATATCGTCCTGGTAAGAATTCCAATGTATTGGAAAGGTTTGCTTATTGTCCTATGAATATGACGTATGTGATAAACTGAGGATCACATTTGGGTTTTTCATTTTTCGTTAATTGCATTTATGAAATGTGTCCGGCGAGTAAAAATGAAACATTCCTGACGAGTTTCAATCTCGTATATAATGAAAGTGACATAATATTCTATTCAGCATATTACTAATACTTTTTGTAAACATTCGTAAAACTTAAGTTTATAAGACTGATATAAAAATTGTTGATATTTGCACTTCATATTTCTTAAGTGGCGTCACAATTCATGTGACGGTAAGAGGCAATAAATATTTAATTGAAACAATTTGAACCTAACCTACGGCCAATTACAGTTCCTAAAGGTGTATTTACATGTTTGTTGATAACACATTTGTTTATGAAATGGGTGGTTTTGCACTTATAACATGGCATTTTTGCAATAAAAATCTTGCATAGGTCTATGTTATATTGAATTTATTCAATTCGTTAAATACAATGTAATCTGGGATGACAGTAGCCTAGTTATACAAAGTATGAATCTAGAATGACAGTAGCATATGTATACAAAGTATGAATCTAGGATGACAGTAGCAGTACCATAAGTATACAAAGTATGAACTAATCGCATTTACGCTCATGTCATATTAGCTTATTGAACTTGTTATATAAATTCAATAGGATATGGACATTCATGTAAAATCCCTCACACTTGTACATATTTAGTACATGTGTATCCAAAATTCTACCACGTCTGTGATGTAACGGCGGTTTTCATTGGTTAAAAAGAGTGCATTATTGAGCGATATATTATGCGCGTGGCAATAACCAATGCACGTGAAATAGTGCGCACGCATGCTGTTCCAACAACCTCCCCGTATTTTATCATGAATTAACAAAAATAGCATAGCTGTCAGGCGGGATCAAAATATTTGACAGGCCTGCCATTCAAAGGATTACACGGATCTATAGACCTAAAGTATGTGGGTCCGTGTTGTGAAAATGGTTTATTAATTATTGACATTTAAAATGGTAAATTATTAATTACTTCTGTTTTTACTTCACTGGGTAGTGCCGTACATTTCACGATGTATGCAGTGTGTGTATGTACTGCCAAGCGTTGATTTCATGTTTTGACGAATGTTGTCGATAGCGTGCCAATGTTTTATTGATTGAAATAAACATCGTATCTGACGTCACACGTGTTCAGTTGTTTCTGGTCTCCAAAACGTCCTCTGCTTTCAAGGTCAAGTGATGTCGAGCATTCGCCTACAGTGTACATACCGTCCGTGAAGAATAATGTTGCAAAAAGTAGCATCGGTCTGAACAGTGGTTGCAAAACACAGCTGTCCGGTGAAGTCGGTGAAGGTGAAGGTCGCGTCATGATCAGCCGGTCAGCGACTTTCCATCACGTCATGGCAACCAACTTAATATGCCAACTCATGTCAGGCCAATTGTATGATGTTGTATCACTGGCACTTCCAAGAAAATCCGCTTGATATCGGAACGATGATGATGGTTTTAGAAGTAAACGCAATCCGGGAATCCCAATCCTACGCACTGATAAATGTTGGCGCGACATTGATCAAGTTAAAACGAGGCAACACGATCACGTGATAAATCTTGCACGCGCAAAAGAACAGCGTCTAATTTGCATATCGAATTATCTAGATCATGTCGCCTTATAGGACTGCAAAACTTTGCAATTAGCTACATTCGACGTGGTAGAATACAAATAATCAACTTAAATCTTGATTTTTTATGAAATTTACGAAATGTATTAAATTACGGGGCTAGTGCATCTCCCCATCTAGATTTTGACATTTCTTTTGTATCACTTGCAGTCGCCTCCAAATGTATCAAACGTTAGACTCTTAGCATCACTGACGAGTCCTAGAAGGACGAAACAGCTGTATAATGCAGTTTAATTAATTATTTGGCTCTACAGTATCACTTCTTAATTTGTATTCTTATGTGTATTTCACTTGTGTGTCTTGTGTGTACTATTGTGAATAATGTGTGCAAAACAATTGATGAATTTCGATTATATTGTTTTATTTTGATGGTCAAATAATTATGTACATGGTGCAAGCAGAACATAATCTTAATATAATAATGTACTTACCAGATACCTCAGGAAGCCTATACAGAACTGTTGGTCTCCCACCTGGGCAAGCTGCTTGCCTGCTGTGCGCAATATAGTGGTTATTCCATCGATCCATTAAGCGATCTAAGTCCAACTGTAGGACTGGCATCAAACAATACCTTATGCAGTACCTATAAACATAAATTTAGAATATACGTATTTGACGCTGATTATACAATAGCAGCACAACGTATACAAGGCGTCAAGCGTAAAACAAATATTGATATCCGAGTGTGAATGACCCTAATGTGGTATTTTCATTTATGAATGTTTTTTTAATCAGTGAATGATATAATGAACAGCGATTGATTTTGATATTCAACTTATATTATCATGTCTTACATCTCGTTGATAATTTCTCTGTGAAATACACCAATATCAACAAGATCTTTGAAGAAGGAAATCCACCATTCGCACTCCTGCCGTCTCATTACGGTCCACCAGGCTTCGATGAAATAAATTAGGTTCACGTATTTGTGTTGTTGGACAAGGAAATGTTGCAGACATTTAAACATAATGAATAATTGATTATCTATCAAATAGACAGATGAGTGGAATGATTACTTCAAATATTTAACACATGTATTTGAAATGAGGGAACCTTAAAATACCCGTATTCGTTATCCAAATTTAAAGTACAGGCATATGGATCATATGGAGAAAAAAAGATTGGCAGAAAGTAGAAGGAAATTTAGACAGGTGTTCAGACACGTCCATACATAGTATTGGACACCCATCTTGTAGCATCAGCCAAATACAAAGAGTAATTTCCTAACAATAAGAAACTATATGTAACTTATATGTAACAAATTTACATATTTGTCAACGAGATTTAACAATGTTGGTGTAAACGTAGACGCACACTTTCTTTGACGCACACTGCTGACAGTAAATATATAGCATTTTGTATGTCGTTTACCTGATTGAAGATTGATCGTACGACACGGTAACTGCGTATTCTGGAAAATGTATCGTGTGAAATATGTCTGAACAGGTACTGAAGAGAACCCATAACGCAATTTTCTGTTCCAGGGTCAGACTGAAGAACCATAGGACAACCTGAGGTTAAATACAAATTGACGCATTATACTTATTTAAAAAAGGTATTGGAAAGCATACGGTGTTTTGAAAGATTTGAAGAAGAGAAGAATGTTCCATTTTCATTTAATACCTTTAAACCTGCTTCAAGAAATAAAGTGAAAGCTTACTTTTAAATATTTAAAATTTCTTCCATATGTAAAGCAGATGATTACGAATATTAAATTGTCGTTAAGCCAAAGGTTCCGAAGAGTGTTAAAATGTTTATGATCCAAATGGTTGGAATTCAACATGTATTTAGACAAAGATTATGAATGGATATTTCTCTCCCGTATCATGGATTAAAGTCAAGCATTTCAACTACACAATATGAATAAAGACAGTCGCCATTAAAAGGTTTTGACATTTTTGAAGACGTAACCTTAGATGCACTGTAGAATGTTACTCAGAACCTCGGAAAATCAATAAAATTCTATACACACTCGGATTGATATCCATTCCATGACATTTGAATGTCTTACCTTTCAATTCGTCAACGCATTGTGCAAAATTAAATGCAACAACCACCGGGTCATTGTTAGTTGGACCAATCTTCAGCCAGATTATTTTTCTGGAAAACCTACATTGGAAAACCACAGCTATAGTAAAACATTAATGTATTTCCTTCCGCGCATGCGTGTCGGCATAAGCAATTGGTTTGTTTGCTACGTGTGTGTCCGCAAAAGAGTATACGTACATGAAACAAAGTAGAAAATAAAGATATCTCTAATTTTTTTTGAGATCGCACTTTTAATTATCGCTGCATGCTTACAGAAGAAAAGAGGCATATCAAATCCCCATCCCGAAAACTAAAAATGAATACACAATCATCATTATTTACAAAATAATAGGGGTCCATTACAGCAACCCCATTCTTCGCCCATTTTTCTATAAAAAATCGAAACGTCAAACTATTTACAAAGTAATAATAATTCAATAGTGTATGGACAAAATGTTGCCTCCACGGTTTACTTTCTAACATTTGCAAATACATAATATTAACATAATTACCCATCAATACATCCATGTATAGGAAATCCGTAGGGTTTCAGCTTATCGTATCTGAAATAAAATAATTACACTTAAAAACTGTCTCATTACAGTACAATTCGTTAAGTCATAATAAAATTAAAACTAAAATTTAACTTTATGAACACATTTGTTATCCAGCATGCAATACAATAAACCTCCCGTCCACGTGCCAAACATGATTCGGACCCATTGTTCGGTATACTCTTCGATTTATACGACGCGGCCTTCGAATATCAACTCCTATGGGATCAAGTTCTCGAATTATCTTCATGACTGTATCCCTATCACAAAATATGTAAGATAAACAGTATATCATGTAATATCATCAACTTACCAAATAAGGCATATTTGTAAGTAGAATGGAGTCACAAAATCAATAATACGTCGTATTGTAAACTGGATCAGTAAGATGTCTATAAAGTTTAACACAATATAAGATGCACACTCATCCTCACACACAACGTTACCTTGGAACGTTGACTCTCTTTGGTCGTAATAAACAGGACATTTGCCTGTAACCAAAAGTGCTTGGCAAATCAGGTAAAAAAGTCTGAAAAGAAGATTTCATTTACTAGTAATATTTTCTTAACGCTTGTTACTTGTTATCAACACATGTATTGCTGGTAACAAACATCTTCAAAGTTCTGCAGAGTGGAAAATACAGATGTGCTTATGACAAAGTATCAATGTGTTAGCAATCTCAAAATATATTGCAATACATTTAGCTACATTTATAAATGCTTAATATTATGATATACAGTAAACCTACCTGAATAATGTGCGTCACTTCAATCGTAGTGTGATCAGTATTTCCCTTTCGTTGTTGCATTCCTGCACGTTTGAGTCTTTTTCTAATCGCATCAGGACTAGAATAATATTTTCAATTTTAAAGTCATTTGATTATCAAAATAACTTACATAATACATAAGTGTGAATATATGTTAGACGAATAACAATAACAATGGCTAATAACAATAAAATCTCCTTGTATGTCATGTTTTGACTGGCATATCTGACCATAAGTTCCATCACTGCAAGTCAAAACTATAAAATTGCAATCATACAGAGTTAAATGTTATCACACGTGTTGTTATAAATCATCGCTTATATGTATGAATAAAAAAAAGATGGTATTTACTAAGTACTATAAATGTAAGTGACTTCTAGTATTGTCAGAGACGATCATCCGGATAGAAAATAAAGTTGTAATATACATACAAATTTATATATATGTAACGTTCCGGGGTCCGTACCCTAGTCACTTCTAAGGATCCCTGTGCTGTAAGCTTAATTACAACTATACTACAGTTGCAAATATATACAAATATGTGTTACTACCTTGTAACCAGCATACCTATTACCTAATGCTTAATACATGATATGAACAGAATAATTACTGCACGACTATAGAACTATTACCAAATTAAAGCTATCTGCTCTGTGTCAATATAACACACTACACACACTACCGTACAATCCAGGCAGTACACAACTCGACTACCTAGTCGCGGCTAGCCCTAGTCACTATAGTTGCCCTATAGTCAGCTACCTAGCTATATGATCTAGTCCCGCCGATCACGACAGCCTTATACTAGTATACAACTACGGCACTCTATAATGACCACGACTACCCCTAGTCACGACTAGCTCTAACGACTTTACCTAGTCACGACTAGCCTGGTCGCGACTACCCCTAGTCACGACTAGCACCAACGACTATACCTAGTCACGACTAGCCTGGTCGTGACTAGCACTGTACAGCCTATGCCCGTGACACCTTCTGTCTAACGGTATCTCGCTACAGCACTCAATCGTTTATTTAATATATCTTCCATGCAGTGTGTGGATCAAGGCAAGACTTATTCAGTCACTTCTATCTTTCCAACTCAAAGCGGGTCTCACATGTATTAGGTACTTACGATCTGTCACTGCTGTAAACACGCCGAGATCGAAACAGAACTGGGGCGATTGTCGCTGGATTCTGCCTATTTATACCCTCGTGCTATCCTAGCGACACCTAGCGGTGAGTGAGGTATAATCACCTGTACGTTTTGATTGTACCTCGAAAACTATCTGTCTTCTAAGCGTTCGAATTACGGAGACATAACACAAATGATTAACGCCAACAGATCAACGTATCTAACCTGAATAATATGCTAAATCAGCGAAGGTAGGATTACGATATGTGCATTCATCACATATATATGAAAAACGAAACTGTGCATTTACCTTCTTCCGTTACGGCAACATGAAGCCGAGACAATCCTTTCTTTCATTGTAATCGACTTGTTTTGGTCTGGTTTTGAACCCCCTTATCAGGATAAAGTCAACAGAAGACCCCGCCGGTGATCAATCAAGGAACAAATGAATGTTAATTGATATTTGGAAGCAGTAGATAAATTTGTACACAAAATTTGTACGCAAAAATTGTGTGTCAAAAAACGTGTAGTTAGTAGTACGTTTCGTTAACATAATTTGTACGTACACGTTTTGTGTACAAATAAATGAACTACTACAGTAGATATTTTTGACACAAAATATGTACGTACATATTATGTTGACGAAAACGTACTACTTGTTATACTGTTTTGTCTGTCCCCTATCGGCCATCATAATAATCTGTACGTATAATCTTCAAACATCTCAACAACTCGTTTTAAGTTCTTTCATCTCTTCAAGGGGATTCTTCAGACTGTTTATTTGACTCTGTGTTATTTGTGCCTGCTACGTTTCATTGTATCGGAATACCCGGTGTAAGACATTTTACGACCCAAATAATCTCAGTAATTGATCAAGATTATTTGATCATATATGTATATATATATCCGCATGTGGATATTTTTCAAATCCAAATATCCAAACGCATAAAATGCAAACATTTCTACATCCCGAAAATTTCCACTTTTACAGTAAATTAAAATACCTACCCAAGATATGGCTATGGAGGGTTACATCCTCAGCAGATAATGTTATCAAAGTTTAGCAAAGCAAGCACTCTCACAATTGTGAAATATAGCGACCGAGGTTTTGTTTGGTTTATTTTGTTTAACGTCAGATTAACAGCTTAGGTAATTAAAGGACGTGTCTCTATTGTGGTATGTATGCGTGCTGGTTTGTACATGTATGTGTGTGCTGGAGGCAGTGAATATTGATGTATTTGACTTATTATGAATCTGATGCCGATGTTAGAGTGTTACCTCACTAAATTACTATACGTAAGGCACCCTACACTATTTCATCCAGTAACATTATACTGACAACGGGTCTACCAGTTGTTGCGATGACCCTAAATGCTGAACAACATTAAGCAGGGAACAGCAATTTTCATTCATAAGGACATCGGTATGTCCCTCCCTGGGGAGATAACCCATTGTCTGCCCGGTTTGGATGAACGTCAAAGCCAAGGTGAGGTATTGCCAAGCAAGGCATCAGGAATCAAAAAGGTTTAAGGAAGTAGAGAGACAATACGAAGCAGTTGGGACGGCAGATCAATTGGTTTTTTTATGTTCCCTTAGCAGAAGACACAGAAGAAAGCCCCCAACTACGCAGGGTGTCCACATTAGTCACCTTTTACGACATGCAGTGAGGTAAAGCAGACCTATTCTCTCCTGTAGGGCAGGGACTGCCTATACGCTTACTGTTCCTATAAAATCTCTTCAAATTCCTCTGCAAAGTCTCATGATAAACATGCAAAAAAGGTTCTACTGGTCCTGAAAAGCTTTATGGATTTCGACTAAATTTGGCGTGAAGAATCCTAGAGCAAAGGGGACTACATTTTGTATAAACGGAGGTTGTCGTCTCTCTTGGTGCAGAAGGGCAGGGCCCAATGTGAGAATTTGAGGTTTACATCTTTAAAATTCTTCTTATGTACCATTGGAGGGATTTTATCCAAATTTAACCTGGAACATCCTTTGGCAAAGAGGACTACATTTTGTATAAACGGAGGTTGTGGCCCTACTAAATTTTGTGTTAAGCATTCTTGGAAGAGGAGGACTCAATTTTGTATAAATGGAGGGTCTGGCCCGCCTTAGGGAAGAAGGGTGGGGCCAATTATTGGAACTTGTGGTAATCCTTCTTCTGTATCTTTGGAGGGGTTTTAACCAATTTTGTAGGGAGTACACAGTAGCCAGTTTTTACAACATGCATTGGGGAACAGCAGACCTATTTTATGAGCACATTGGCCACAATTTGAGACACTGGACTACCCATAGCAGAGCTGAAGTGTTGCTGGTAGATGTTGTCCCAAAAAATAAAAAGGAGTTGTTGTCAGCACATATTCCAGATATTCCTGATGTCCTGAATCTACAGGTTTGTTTTCTTACGTCAGGTCTGTCTAATTCTAAGTCTTTCCGAATGATTCTTAGTGCATCGTCAATGGATGTGTTGGTAAAGAGAGAGACAACATCATGTGAAATGAATTCTTCGTCTTCCTGAATCATGATCGTAGACATACATATAGCTTCTGCTAGATGTTTCGAGTTCTTGTCATGGTGTTCTGATTTAACCACCAGCTGTCCAGGAATGTCTGCTAATGACATAGAAAAACTGTAACTAACTCTCTCACATCTATGACCAAGTATTAAACAAAGCGTAACTTAATCGAGTCATTTCGGTACATATATAACAAGTAATTGTACATACGCTACAGCGTAGCCAAACGACATAGCTTTGTGGACAACTCTTAATCATTCTACACCTTTGTGTACATACGCTTTACTTGTCATTTGTCTGATGAAGGTGACAGAGTACTAGTCATCGAAACGTCTCATAGTTTAAAGTCGTTAATTTCCGTTTCGTTACATTCACACTGATCTGTGGCTCTTCCGATTGCATCGACGTTCCTTTGCAATGCACATATTTTCTCGTCAGATTGAATAAAAATTGTCCCTTTTAAAAGATTGACGATTTCACTGGTATAACTTTCCTTTGAATCATTGTCGTCTGAAAATAATTCGATATCAATATCAAAGTAGCGAATATCAAAAACGCCTTCATAGTTCTACAGTATCTGCATTGCATAACTTAATTGTTTTACCATACGGTTGTAATTAACAGCACAGTTACGTGATATGCCCCACGTTTTCGCAGTTGTTATTTCGCTCATACACACGTTAGTGTGTACTTGGAGATTGCACAATAACAACAAACATTATACATGGCGAATTAAAAAATAAAGCAATTTGGGACAATGGGTTTGGTTTGTTTGTGCTTTACATCGTATTAAAGCTATGGTCATTTAATGACGTGCAATGTTTTGATGATGGAGGAAAACCGGAGAATCTAGAGAAAACCACATCAGCCATTACTTGACGACTGCAGCACGTGGGCATCGAAGCCATGACAAAAGGGTGGGGTCTAAAAATTTTAGACGATCAGTCGCCTGAACCACTCTGTCACCGCAGTCCCTTATATTGTGAGAAGACGAAGGAATAAATTGGTTTTCACTTTGATGCTTTGCGAGGCTATGTTGTCAATGTTTGTAAAACATTAATGAAATCATGCGTTACATATTAAGCTTCAGATTTAGTTATAAACAAGTGATCTTAAGTTTTAAATGTTAAAAGTTGAAACAGGATTATGCGCTGGGAAATGTCAGCATCAATTTAATTAATTGTCTTTCTTACAGATTGGTGATGCATATCATTATTTGTGTGTTTGTAAAAAGGAACTAAAAGGTCGACTTAAAACTTTGAATATTGTATGTATCCAAATATGTACTTTATATAATTCGCACAAATGCTATGGTTTTTTTTGGATAGGGGTTGTCATTTTCAGCATAAAAAACCCTGCATGCCCGTGGTGATGTCTATTCGGTGAGCATTATAAGCTACTGAAACGTAAGGTGACTCTACTAACCAATGTATTTTTATTACACAGCGATATACTGGAAACACAAATTTCACATATATTGAAGTAAATTCTTTAGGTACCCTTATTTGAGTTCCAATAACACATGTACAACTTCAGACAAATAAGAGTTGGATATATTAAGATATTAAAGATGTTTTTTTTCAATCGAGGTTTGAAAACATCATGTTTTTGGCCTCATTTTGCTGGCACGATCAACAGAAGGCGATAGAGTGCGGCATTTCATCGAATTTGAGCGCCCATATTACATACGACACGGATACAGCACTTTCTTGTTTTATTCTTCAATTATTTTCGAGGTCGTCACTTGTTTAGTGAACATTTATTCTGGCTATTATCGCTGTCGTATTCACTAAAATTAAGAAACCCACTTCCAGAATACGTATCATGTTCTTCACGCTCACCTACTTAACTCCATAGGTCAAGTAAACGCGATTTGCATTGACAGTTTGTGCCTGATTTTGAAGCCGTTTTGGAGGTTTACATTAAAATAGATAGGGCGCTATATCAAATGTTGTATATTATTATTATTAATATTATTATTACAAGCTAACCGGTAATAAGATTTATATATATTTTAAATGCCGCCGTGACTATTCTCCATAATTATGTTTATTGAAGAGTTAAAAGAAACTGTGGTTAGGTATACATGTAGCAAACACTAGTGATATACCTTTGATGCTCTATTACCTCACCTGGGACGCACTCGTAGCCATACAGAGACAATACAATACTGGGGTATAACTGTATATATATCTTGTGTACATAGTTTAAGCGTCTGCGAGACCAGTTGTTCTAATTTACAAACGTCCAGGTAACGAGAAAGAACGTGAGATGAACGTTTTTGACTTTTTACACGAGCTGTAGGCAATTCACACTTTTCAATTCGTGCTATTCTTCTCTTTGGATAACAACGCTTTAAGGTAAGCGAAAAATACATCACTGTCGTCACAAGCAACATCAATACTAAAAACGTCTTTTAATATTAACGGCTACCAAACCCTGGCTCCATGTTACAAATAAATGCTATGATTTAAATAAACATTATTTTGTACAGCAGTATCCAGAGGGCTGTCCCAATCACCTGCCCTCTGGACTGCTTTTTAAGTTTTACTAAGTAAATTGTTTTAGTGCCACAT